GGGCCCTGGCCGCCAAACCTCCGCTCGCCCCCAAGCCTGGAGCCGCAGCGGGCTCAGGAGGGACTGCACGGGCTGCAGCAGGACAAGTGACAAGCGGACATGGAGCTGCAGCAGCCACATCAGCGTCAGCAGGACAGGCTGCGGAGGACCCCGCCGGGCCTGGCACGGGAGCTTCGGGGGCGAGTGAGGCTCCGGTCGCGGTCGTCACGGTGACCCCAGCCCCGGAACCTGCTGAGAACTCTCAGGACCTGGGCTCCACGTCCAGCTTGGGACCTGGCATCTCTGGGCCTCGAGGGCAGGCTGCAGACACGCTGAGCTACTTGGACTCAGTGAGCCTCATGTCGGGGACCTTGGAGTCCCTGGCGGATGATGTGAGCTCCATGGGCTCAGACTCAGAGATAAACGGGCTGGCCCTGCGCAAGACGGACAAGTATGGCTTCCTTGGGGGCAGCCAGTATTCGGGCAGCCTGTGAGTATCCTGGGGGCACCTGGCGGCCCTCTTGGGGGAGATTGGGGGAGGGGAAATGATGCACCTCGGCCAGCGGGCAGCCCGGCCACCTCGGAGGATCCCGGAGGTGACCGGAGGGAGCTGTGGCCTCGAGCATCCAGGGGTTTCTGTGGTATTAACATTTTAGTGAGAGTTTTGGACGAGAGATTAAGCCATCGGGGTATAAGCCTAAATCCTTGTCTTTGGTGTATTGTGTCCTTGAGCTAGTGGTGTCCCTGTTTTTGTGCCTTAGTTTCCTCGAAACTCTGTGAAGGGTTGAATGAGGTGATACTGAGATCATCCCAACTCCTGATGCTGAACTCTAGCTACAGACCAGAAGTTAGGGAAGGTTGATTGGGCAGAGATATTGGTAGAGACCTTTGATCCCTTAGGGGACAGAGAGTTTAGGAGAGAGGCTGGCAGCTTCCCTCACACATAGTGACAGTTGGATGGAGTGGTACAGTTGATAAGTCCAGTGATGGCGGGGAGGACCCAAAGTCAAGGCCCCTTGGTGAAAGAGAGGGCAGTGTTGTGTTTTCACTGAAGGAAAGGGGTGGAGAGGCTGCTTCCCCATTTCCTCATCTCCTCACACAGCTCACTCTTTCCTAGTTCCCTCCAGGGGCCTGAGTCACTCCTAAGGTGGGGGTGTGATCACCTCCAACTTCTTCCTTCCCTCTCTGTGGATCCTGTCCATTGCTTTGTGCCCCTTCAACCTGTGGTCTGAACAGCCTGGCCTCAGTGCAGGTGTAGGCCCTGGGCTGCCCTAAAAAGGATGAAGTAATCATTTTGAGCAGTTTGTTTGGAGGGAGAGATGGATGCTTAATAGTTGGTTTTAATGCAGTATCAGATATAGCCCGGAGGTCATCATGGGTTTGTGAGCACCAGGAAAAGAGACCTTTAGGCCGGTGTAGGAATTCACCTGAAGTTGATCTAAATTTTGAGGAATGAGTCATGGGTGTGTATTGGGGTGGGGGCATTACACTCGGGGTTTATAAACAAGAATCAGAAAACTTAGGGGCCGGAGAGATAGCTCAGTGGAATAAGTGCTTGCTTGGCAAACACAAGGTCCTGAATTTGATCCCTGGTGCCACCCAAAAAAAAATCAGAAGACTTATTTTTGTGGTATGGGGTGTAGGGGTTGACTTTCACATTTAACTACGTCTGCAGCCCCTTTTTTATGTTTTTGAGATAGCGTCTTGCTTAGGCTAGGCTGGAACCTGCCTCCCTCCTGACTCAGCCTCCAAGAGTGCCTGGTGTGTGCCACCATGCGACTAAGAGAAGTTTTCTCAGAGGACCAGCATTCACAGTCTGTGGGGAAGGAACCTCATTTTGGCCCAGGTGTTTTTTCATGTTATGTTGGATTAAGTTTATAGATGAAGACACAGTTAAGTGAATTGCTTCCTTTAAATCTGGATCTGTGTCTCCAATGGCTTTTTCCTGTGTCAGACTGCCCTAAGAACTTGGGTAGATCCCAGTTTTAGAGATTCCTTTTTGTGTGCCCAGGCATTCAATCCTGGGTGCTGTTTCTTAGCTATGTATTTTTGCCACTAAAATCTGTCTTCCATACCAGAGAAATCTATTCCTGAGACAAGGCTGTGACTTTTTGCAGCTCCCTTCCATCTGCAGGGTAAAGTCCAAGCGCTTTAGCCTGCACACAGGCTTCTTATTGTCCAGCTATGCCAGCCTCTCTGGTCTGATTTCCTACCACTTGTCGCCAGACACTGTAACTGTTTTCCTGCTGAACTAGTTGTAGTTGCTCTCTCCTTTCATATTCAGGCCTATCCCACCTGCCAGGAATGCACTTCTCCTCCTCCTTTGCCTGCTAATTTCTAATTTGTCCTTATGTTTTACCTCTTTCAGGAAGCCTTCTCAGACCCCCACTGCCTCCACCCAGTCATATGCTTCTTGTGTGCACTTTTTTTTAAGACAGTCCCTATATCAGCTTTGGTGAACCCGTGGCACACGTGTGGCTGTTCATTATCACTGAAAGTTCTAAAAGGTTTGCTATCATTGCCCTACATAGTTCAGGCTGAGCTTAACACACTGTGTAGCCCAGGCTGGCCTTAAATCTTTGATGATCTTCCCGCCTCAGCCTCCCAAGTGCTGGGATTATACGCATGTATTACCATGCGCAGACTATTGGATTTCCTGTACCAGATTGCAGTTACCACCTCTCCTAGGCTGTGAAGGGTAAGAGAGGTATCTTAGCCTTCTCAGCCCTTAGTAGAGTTTGGAACTGACTTATGGTAGAAATTAACGAGAGATGGTGTCTCTTTTAAAGAGCTTTTAAGGAAAAGAAACTCAACATTTAGTGAGCTCATTCTATTTAACAGTCTTTTATACACATTTTCTTAAAAGTGCTCATAATTTTGTAGGTGGTGTTAGTCCATCTTAGAGGTGAGGAAGAGACACAAGTTATCACTTGCAAAGATGCCTCAGGTTTTAAGGGCCATAACAGGAACTTGAACTTGTTCTGATTTCTGAAATTCATTTTACTTGGCTCCTGGTGTTGGTTCCTTCAAGTAACTGTTTCAAGACAGATGGGCACCCTTGAGTGTGAAGTGCCGAGGAACAGTGGGCAGAGAGGGCCAGGAGAACTTCTTTTGCCTAGGAATCGGGGGAGATTTCAAGGAGGAGGTGGTAGAAGTCCCAGATGGCCCATGGGATCTCAGTTGCTCTTAAGGAAACAGAGAAGTACATTTGTTCTGTATTTTATTTGATGGATACTTGCTACTGATTTATTGAACCTCTGCTATGTGTTATTTTATATAACTCCTTGATGTACATGTCAATTAGACATTGTCATTTTTCCACCTTACAGATGAAATTGAAAATTAAGTGGGAGGGGCCAGGGAGATGGCTCAGTAGAATAAGCAGTTCCCTGGCAAGTGCAGAGGCCTGAGTTCAATCCCCGGTTCTGCCACAAAAAAAAAAAAAAAAAAGAAAGAAAGATAGATAAAGTGACTTGGCCAACATCTCACAATGAATAAATGGTTAAGCTAGGACTTGGATCCAGGTTTAGTGCAAAATAGGATTTTTAATTTTTTTTTTTTTTGGTATTTTATTTTTATTCAGATTCTTGCTATGTAGTCTAGGCTGACTTTGAGCTCACTGTGGAGCCCAGGCTGGTCCTGAACTTGTGGTAATTCTGCCTCAGCCTCCCAAGTGCTAAGATTACAGGTGTGTGTCACCATGCCTGGCAAACATGTGTCTTTTAAACATTTTATACTTCCTGGGCTGGGGAGAAAGCTCAGTGGTCTAAGTACCTGCCTGGAAAGCGCAGGGACCTGGGTTCAATTCCCAATACTGTATGCCATGTCAGCCCTGGAACCCTGGGCATGCCATACCGGCCACCTGTAATCCTAGTGCTGGGGAGGTTGAGACAGGAGGATCACTATGAGTTTGAGCTATATAGGGAGACCCTGTACCAAGTAAATAAATACATAAATGATTTAAAAAAAAATTTTTTTTTTTCTCTACTTCCCAAATCTGGAACCACCAGCCAGGTGTGATGGCACACACCTGTACTCCTACACTTGGGAGGTTGAGGCAGGAGGATTGTTGTGAGTTCAAGACCATCCTGGACTATGTAGTGTGTTCAAGAGCACCCTGAATTACACAGCAAGACCCTGTCTCAAAAATCAAAACCAAAAAATACCGAAACACAAATGTGGATGTCAGAAGTAGGATTCGAACGTGACCTCTGTTCAGAGATGGAAGAGAACAGAGGAGGAAGCCTTTTTAGGGTGTGAATAGAGCTGAAAAGAGCCTTAGCCAAGTGGCCAGGCATTCTGATATCTGGAGACTCACAAATGTCCGCTCTGTCATTTGAGCCTGGGAAGGTGGCTGGCTGAGCCCCCTGGAAGCTCAGGCACTGTGCTGCTGCTGATCCTCTCTGTGCTCCTCCAACCTGCAGAGAGAGCTCCATTCCAGTGGATGTGGCTCGGCAGCGAGAGCTCAAGTGGTTGGAGATGTTCAGTAACTGGGATAAATGGCTGTCACGGCGTTTCCAGAAGGTTTGAGAGGGTTATACAGTGGGTTGTGCAATGTACGAGGGTGGAGGGAGGCATGTGTGCTCCAGGAAGTCCAGGAGACCGATGTGGTCTCCCACCTAGACCATGTGGGTATAGGTGGTCCTTGGATCCCAGTCCAGTGGGGTCCAGTGTGGCATGGGAAACTCAGGGACTGCTGGGGAAGGCCTGGAGGCTGTGCCAGCCCCTGAAGCTACCTATCGGGCTTGTACTATGCCTTAGGTGAAGCTACGCTGCCGGAAAGGGATCCCCTCGTCCCTCAGAGCCAAGGCCTGGCAGTACCTGTCTAATAGTAAGGAACTTCTGGAGCAAAATCCTGGCAAGTTTGAGGTGTGTGACACTCCATTGTGTGGGAACATGTGGCCTTGTCTATGTAAGGGATGTCACTTCCCTCACATCCTGAGGTAATCCCTGCTGTCCCACTGCAGGAGCTGGAACGGGCTCCCGGGGATCCCAAGTGGCTGGATGTGATTGAGAAGGACCTGCACCGCCAGTTCCCTTTCCATGAGATGTTTGCTGCTCGAGGAGGGCATGGGTAAGGTGGCCTGACCATGTGGGTCAGTCGGCAAATGATCCTCGAAGGTTCCAGGTAGATACGAGGTGGTTGGAAAGCAGGTCTTGCCCCAGAGTACCTGTAGAAGAGTGATTTTTTTTTTTTTCTTAAAGGGTCTTGCTGTGTAGCTCAGGCTGGCCTCAAACTCAGCCATCCCTCTGCCTCAGCCTCCTAAGTGCTGACAATACAGGCATGTGCTTCCATGCCTAGCAGAGGAGTGATCTGTAGAGGACTGAGTGTCCTGGGAGGGAGACTTGAGTCTGGCGGTGTGCGTTCATGTGCATGGACACATCAGAGGTTGATACTGCATTTCAGTTGGTTTTTAAAGGAGAGATAGGAGCTGGCAGGGTTTTCCTGCCTGGGAGGTCACAGAAGTGGTGTCTGGGCAGTGAGATTGGGTAAAACTGAAGCCAGAAAGGAAGTTTTAAGGCTTGAATACTGAGAACTAAGTTCTTAAATGCCATGCCAAGGCCCTGGGTGTTAATTCTGTGGGTAAATTTCCTCCTGTGCACTGTGTGCCACTCCCCAGTAGCATGCAAGGTGGTCTTAGGGGGTTTTCAGGTGGCCTTCTATCTCTTCAGTGCTGGGGATTGAATCTGGGCCTCACGTGTGCTGCGCCAGTGCTCTACTCCTCCCGAGGTACGTGCCCTGCCTTTTGTATTTAGAGACAGAGTCTTGCTAAGTTTCCCACACAGGTCTCAAACTTGGGATCTCCCTTCCCAGTGTTAAGTTCACTTTTTAACAAATATTCATTGAGTACCTGCTATCTGTCAGGCATTGTTCTAGTCCTGGATGTCAGTGGTAAACAGAGACAGAAACTCCTGTCCTCGGGGTTATTGTCGTTCAGTGAGGACAGGTAATACACCAGATGAAGGGAGGTATGATGTATGTGTAAGAGTAGTAAGCAGTAAAGAGGAATTTAAAGCAAGAAGAGAGACCAGAGAAAATACATGGGATGGGTGGGTTATAAGTGACCAGATCTGCATGCGTGTGTTTCCCCCTGTGGTACTGGGGACTGAACCCAAGGCTTTCTTCACACTTAGCTTGGTTCACGTTTGTCATTTTCCTGTTGAGCCGCTCAGTGCTGGGCTTCATGGCATGGGTCACCTACGGCCTGGCTTGACTTCATGTCTGCAAAGGGTCATTCTGGCTAGTGTGTTACACACTACAGGGAGACAAGGGCAGAACCAGGGGAGTTAGGAGACTCGAATCAGGAGAGAGTATGATAGATGAGGTGTAGTAGTTGAAGTATGAGAAGTCATTGGGTCAAGAAGTCTCTTTCAAAGGTAAAATCAAAAGAATTTGCTTATGGATTAGGTAGGAAGTAAGAAAGGAGAATTATGGTAGCTCAGTGGATTAAAGCTCCTGCTTAGGCAGACGCAGTGGCCAGGGTTTGATCCCTGGCATGCCGTGCTGGGCCCTGCCCTGCTCCCAGGGCACAGAGATGGCAAATGAGATGGCGTGGTAGCACACGCCTGTAATCCCAGCACTTGGGAGGCTGAAAACAAAGAGAATCACTGAGTCTGATCTACATAGTGAGACCCTGTACACTCTGTTCTAAATACAGAAAAAGAAGAAAAAACAAAAAGGAGAATCAAAGGTAAATCAAGGTTTTTGACCTGACAAAGTAGAAGAGTAGAGCTGCTACTTACTGAGATGGTGGGGAAGACTGGGGGAAAGGTCGGCTTGTGGCACCAGTCATGAGCTCGGTCTAAAGTTTAAGGCCAGATAGGGACTCACATGCCTGCAGTCTTAGCAGGAGGCTGAGGCAGAATGACTATAAGGTTGTGGCCAGCCTGAGCTATATAGTGAGACCCCATCTCTCTCTCTCTCTCTCTCTCTCTCTCTCTCTCCCTCTTCCTCTCCCTCTTTCTCTCTCTCTCTTTTGCGAAACTGGGAATTGAACTCAGGCCCTATTCTACTGAGCCATCTCCCGGCCCCTGAGACCCTATCTCAAAAACAAAAAGTTTAAATTGATTTTTGGACACCCAGATGAAGATGTGAGGTATGCCATACATACAAATCTAAATTCCAGGGTAGAACTTTATTTTTTTATTTTTATTTTTTGTATTTTTAGTAAGGGTCTACAGGGTCTCACTATGTAGATCAGACTTATAGTGATCCCCCAGTGTTCAGCCTCCCAAGAGCTGGGATTATAGGTGTGCGCCACCACACCCAGTCTCATTTGCCATCTCAGTGCACCCTGGGGGCAGGCCAGAGATCAAACCCTGGCCACTGTATCTGCCTAAACAGGAGCTTTAATCCACTGAGCTATTTGGCTGGCCCTCAGGGCAGAACTTCAAATTGAACATGAATTGGAAATTGAAAGTGTCATCTTCTGGAGGCACTTGACCCATGGTGTGGCTGAGATCCCAAGACAGCAAGTGTAGATTTAAGAGGAAGACGTCTAAGGATTGAGCTCTGGGCATTGGGTGCTTTGAGAATGGGAAGATGAGAAAGAACTGCTGGAGGAAATTGGAACGAGACTCTAGAGGGGTAGCAGAAAGACCAGGAGAGCGTGGTCCTAGAAGCGAAGGGAAGGGTTTCAGAGGTCAGCAGTGGGAAATGTGGCTGAGGGTTCAGGTGAGGCAGCTTGAAAACCAACGCCTGGATTCACTTCGTTTGGAGGGCATTGGGAATTGAGCAAAGCAGTTTAGCCAGTGAGTGCCTACTCTGGAGTTGTTCCACTGACTAGATAAGGACAGAGTGCTGTTTGGAGGAAAGAGTGGGGTCAAGGGACATTTCTTTAAACAAGTAACAGCGTGTTGATATGTTGATGGGAAAATGATCTGGCAGAGAGAGAAAAAATGGATGAAGCAGGAGCGACAGTTGGGTCGCTAGAGTGCTGATCTGTGCTGGCGAATGGGCACAGGGTTCAGAATTCAGCTTTGCCAGCATCGCAGACAGTTTACCCATAGCAACGGGAGAGAAGGCAGGGACACAGACGCAGGCGGGTGGGTGGATGTAGCGTGGGGGCTCGTGGAAGTTACGTGTTAAGATGAGCTAGGTAAAATAACCAGCACATTAAACCTGTCATTTCAAGGATGCTTTGTGGAGTGGAGAAGAAACATTACATAAATAATAGGGGTGGTATCCAGACAAGGCACATTTGACTGGATTTGGGGCAAAACTATTACAGGCAGTGTTAAGAATATATGTGAGACTGGTGGCAGGCAGAGGACCTGGGTGGCTGTGTTTTTCTGGGCAGGAGATGGAGGTCAGAGCTGGAAGTGGCTGTGGAGGTGGGGAGAGAACAGACACGAATGGAATTCAGGATATAGCACAACTAGCCCTGGGGAAAGAGGAGGACTCTGCTTCTGATGTGGGCTGAGTGGATGGAAGGCCCAGCAGTAACAGGGAAGAAGAGCAAGTCTAGGGCAGAGATCAGCTGCAGAGGCAAGAGCAAGGTCTGAGTATAGCTGCTTCCAAGCCTGCACCACGGTCCTGGACTCACTAGGCAAGGCAGTCACTGCTGATGGAATCTGATGAGAATGATAAGGCAGGCCCTGCCCCTGGAGCCACTGCTCTGGGGTGTTAGAAACATTCAGATGGTGCTAGAGGAGGGTGAAAGCTCCCTGGAGAAACGAACCTTGAAAGTATATGGACTAGAGGCGGAAGAAGGCTGGATGGGGTGTGGCAGTGCTAGGGAGCGGGTGCAAGGCTGGGACCTGTGACCTTTTGTGCTCTGAGCCTTGGGTTTAAGCTTGAGTGGCAGGACTGTGAAGGTGGGTAGAGGGGTGCAGTGGTGAAACAAACTTGGGTTAATTTGGTAGTGGACATGGGCGAGGCCTGGGCCAGGCTCTGCAGGGTGCATGTGCTTTGGGGCAGAGCAGTCCCAACTCCCACGTTTTCCACCTTCTACAATCCTCACAGGCAGCAGGACCTGTACCGCATCCTGAAGGCCTACACCATCTACCGGCCTGATGAGGGCTACTGCCAGGCCCAGGCCCCGGTGGCTGCGGTGCTGCTCATGCACATGCCTGCTGAGGTCAGCATGCGTAGTCCTGGGTGGGTGAGGAGGGAGGCGGGAAGCTTCTGGCTGCAGCCAGATGGGAGAGCTGCCTCCTCCCTGCCGCTCAGGCCCTGCCCCCGTTCTTGCCCTTCTCAGCAAGCCTTTTGGTGCCTGGTACAGATCTGTGACAAGTACCTCCCAGGTTACTACAGTGCAGGGCTGGTGAGTGTCTGGAAGTTTGGGTGCGCTGGGGCTGTGACTTTTCCAAGGGAATACTCGCCTCTCCCCTCCTGGCCCTGTCCTCTGGGGCTCTCCCCACAGAGGTGAAGATCCCTTGTGACGCTGATCCTACTCCAAGGGCTCCACAGCAGGCCCAGGTCCTCTTCTCACAGCTCTTCCCACCTCCAGGAGGCCATTCAGCTGGATGGAGAAATCTTTTTTGCACTCTTGCGCCGGGCTTCCCCACTGGCACATCGGCACCTGCGGCGGCAGCGCATCGACCCCGTGCTCTACATGACAGAATGGTTCATGTGCATCTTTGCCCGCACCCTGCCCTGGGCCTCAGTGTTGCGTGTCTGGGACATGTTTTTCTGTGAAGGTATTTCTGTGTCTCTGGCCACGAGGGCAAGGTGTCTACGGACAAAAAGTATCTCTTGGGTCAGAACTTCACTGTAAGCAGCCCACAGCTTAAATAGTCCTGGTCTTAGTTCAGCCACCAACCTAGAGACTGCTTTTCCTCCCAGGAACTGGAAACCCATAGCAATCCATTTCTTTCCTGAGGCCTATTTCCTCATCAGTAAGGTTGGCAGTCGTAGGGACGGGCTATGGGCGTCACCTAATCGGGATGGGCTTAGGATCTCAGGATTGGTTACCCCCACGCTCCCCTTCCAACCCTGTAGGTGTTAAGATCATCTTCCGGGTGGCCCTGGTCTTGCTACGACACACCCTGGGGTCGGTGGAGAAGCTGCGTTCCTGCCAAGGCATGTATGAAACTATGGAGCAGCTGCGAAACCTGCCCCAGCAGTGCATGCAGGAGGACTTCCTGGTACATGAGGTAGGCCTGGGCCACCCTCCCCTCCTTCAGCCCACTCCATCCTGGTACTTGTCTCCATCCTGGTACTTGTTTCCTTTCCATCTAGGTAACCAACCTTCCAGTGACAGAGGCCTTGATTGAGCGGGAGAATACAGCCCAGCTGAAGAAGTGGCGGGAAACCCGGGGAGAACTGCAGTATCGGCCCTCACGGCGACTACATGGGTCCCGGGCTATTCATGAAGAGCGGCGGCGGCAGCAGCCACCCTTGGGCCCCTCTTCCAGCCTCCTCAGCCTCCCTGGCCTTAAAAGCCGAAGCTCCCGGGCAGCTGGAGGGACCTTCTCCCCACCCCCTCCTGCCCGCAGAGCCAGTGCAGGCCCTGCCCCAGGGCCTGTGGTCACTGCTGAGGGACTGCACCCATCTCTGCCCTCACCTACTGGCAACAGCACCCCTCTGGGTTCCAGCAAGGAGGCCCGGCGGCAGGAGAAGGAGCGGCAGAAACAGGAGAAAGAGCGCGCAAAGGAGCGGCAGAAACAGGAGAAAGAATGGGAGAGGCAAGAGAAAGAACGACAGAAGTGGGAAAAAGAGCAAGAAAAAGAACAGCAGAAGCAGGAGAAGGAGCGGCAGAAGCAGGAGAAGAAGGGTCAAGGCCGGAAGCTTTCCTTGCGGCGAAAGGCAGATGCGCCCCCAGCCCCCCATGACGGTGGGGATAGGTCCTCAGCAGCTGAGGCCCGGCAGGACGCTTACTTCTGACCTCTGCGTGGGGCTGGACTGCATGGTGACCTCCTCCCTCAGCCAAGAGCAGGCCTGACCCAGGCACTCCCCTGGCAGGTGTCCCTCTTTCTAAGGAAAGTGGCTGATTCCCCATCTCCTTGCCAGCTGCTGCTCCCTTCACGGCCAGGACAGCCAGTTCGTGGGGCGGTTGTGACCGACTCTGGAGCCTCCTGCCTCCAGTTAGGCCCAGCAGGGGTCTCTGCTATTCCTGTCAGTTCCCACTAGGGTCCCCTCCCAGGTGCTGTCCTGATTGGCCCCTGGTCACCAGGTGACTCTTGGCCATGGGCAGTTTGCAGATTCTTACACTCCAGTGGCTCCCCGTATCCACAGGTGGAGCTGGGTTCCTTTTCCCTCTTTGCCCTTCCGCCGCCCCCCCCCCCTTCTGAGGGCCAAGGCTGTCCTCTGTCCTCGACTTACTTCTGGACATCTCTGTGTTGTAATTATGTATAGAGGACCAGGCTGGCCCGGGGTGGGGAGCTTGCTCAGTCCTCTGTCTTGGTTCTCCAGTGTTCCTGCACTCCAGTTTATTTAAGGGGACATGCACTGAGATAGGAAATGTTCCCCCCACCCCCCAGGCCTGGTCTCCTTCCTCCTCCATCGTGTTCTGTATTCTCAGGCCGCTTCTGCTTTATCTCAACAGGATCCCCACCTTTCATCTCATTCCCTTCTAACCCTTAAGCCCCTCCAGGAGTGAAGAGTCTTCTCTTGAGCTCCAGGGTGGAACCCGATGTTTACATTTTTTTCTGTCTCAGCCTCATCCCATGCTTTGAGGAACCGGAAAAGAACCTGCTGTTGTACCCACACCTGTGTCCTGCTTTTGCTTTGTTATTTGATGAGGGGGCTCCTGGGGTAGGAACTAGGGCGGGCCGAGCCGGGATGCTTCAGTGGAAGCGGCTGATGACTGGCACGTGGGTGCTCTCGAGTCCTTGGTCCAGCTCTCGTTTCCATTTGGGACCGGAGTGGGAAGTGGGCGCTGCTGCGACACAGGGTCGTGTGTAGCTCAGCTGGCCTCAAACTCTTGCTTTCCTTGCTGGGAAAGCCGCGTGTGCCACCTGTCTGTCTGGTCCTCCTCTCCTCTCCTGGACAGTCACTGGCTGAACAGTGCCGTCCGTGCCTGGGATCAGCGCCTCCATTGTGTGCCGGTGGCCTCCCTGGACCTCCTTCCCCAAAACGCTCTCGCAGCTCTTGGAAACTCCCGAAACTGACTGGCTAGAAAGTTGCCATCTCCTGGGGTGAGCGGGGCTCTTGGCCAGCCAGTGGCACAGTCCCGCCCGGTCCTGGGCATGCAGGGGCGCAGCGCACCCCCGCTGTGCCCACAGCCAGGCCGCGGTTCTTCCCGGCCCCCTGCTGCCAGCTTGTGGGCCGCCCACCCGTGCTCTGCGCCTCCACGGGGAGGATGTAGGGTCTGCGGCCCACGGCGGGGCTTCCCTTGGCAGGCCTCCAGCACAACGAGCCCCGGGGGATGTGGCCAGCTGGGGGTTCCAGATAAAGGAGGCGGTTTCCTCGAAGGATGAGCCCGGGCGCTAGTGCCGCCTCTTGCGGCCCCGTGGAAGAAGCCGAGCGCGGAGCTGTGCAGCTTCCCTGGGTCCAATGTGGGACGGACGCCTGGAGGAGAGAGCGGTGGTCCATCGGGTCGGTGGGGGAGCCCTGCCAGCCCCTCTAGCTTCAGCCGGACCGGCCGCGGGCTTGGCGCCGGACAAACGGCTTCTCCTGGGTCCTAAAGAGAGCTAGTTTGGGAAATCGCCAGATACTGTCAGTCCTCCCAGCGGGCCATCAGGAAAGCAGAGCTTCACTTGGCGGACTAGTAGAGGGCAGGCAAGTTGACGAGCTGGAAGGCAGGGTTTCTAAATGCCCTTGGCCAGTCCTGGGGGTAGGGCGACTGGAACTCTGCATGTAAAGCTAGCAAGAAAACCACAGGCTCTGCACGGACTCTGTCCTGTCCCCACCTTAGCCGTTCCCCCGGCATTTGTTTCTTTGAGACAGGGTCTCGCTCTGTAGTTCAGATTCGCTTTGACTACTATCTTATGTAGTCCAGGCTGGTCTTGAACTCGGGCGATCCCCCCACCTAAGCCTCCTGAGTGCTGAGATTACAAGCGTGGACCACCACGCCTTGCTGGACGCCCTCGTACGGAGGTTTGTTTGAGACAGTTTCCCATTTTGCAGGGTAGCTGGCCTTGAACTTGTAGCGATCCTCTTGCTTCAGCCTCCCAACCATCCCAATTCTCAACTGGGATTACAAGCGTGCGCTACCGTTTCCGGTTGGGCGCCCCTTTCAACTTCTATGTGCTCCAAATTCCTCCGCAGACTTTTCTGTAGGTGGGAATATAACTACTTCCGGCTGTCTCAACTTCCGGGCAGGGTCTACGCCTTTATACGCCACTCTTCCGGTCTTTGTAGCTCCATGCGTCTTACGTCACTTCTGGCCAGGAAGAAGGCCTTCACTCGTTCCTGTGTACTTCCGCCCGTTCCCGCAGTTAGTCGTCTGGCAAGAGTGAAGCCACTTCCGGCTTCCCTGGCGTCGCTGCAGATTTTTTTTCCGGCCTCCTTGGCGCCTTCGTAGTGCTCTTCCGGGTGATGATGGTCGGATGCCCCGGATGTAGCCCTGGAGAAAGCATCTTTCTCTCCTTTTTCTCGCCTCTCCCTGGATCCCCAGGTGAGCGTGCGTAGGGATACCCAGATCTCCGGGCCTCTGTTGCTCCCCTAATTTGTATTCAAAGCCCGGGACAGTCGGGGGAGTGTCACCACATTGAATTCTGAGTTTGCATGGGGAGGAGCGCCGCGGCTGGGGCGCCAGGACCTAGAACCACACGGCCCTGCCGGCGGCCCAAAGAGCGCTGAGTACTGCGGAGCGGGTGTCAGCCCGCCGAGCTCCAGGCGCAGACGGGGTGCTCACGTGGGGAAGCGTTTCCCAGGGTGGGTGTCCTCGGGAAACACCCCCGCGCAGCCACCTCTCCGTCCTCTGCACAGCGCCTAAGGCGGCGGCTCGCCGTCCTTTGCAGCCCCTGATTCTGTGCTCTCTTCTGTCCCAAACTAGTCCCTTTAGGGCCCAGCGCTCCCCTTTTGTTGTGCCGTCGACCCCCTTTCACGAGTCCCCTCCTCACCCCGTTTCCTTACTCTGGAACCTCTTCCTGGCCTCAGCTCCTCTGACCAGTCATGCCAAAGAGGAAGGTGACCTTCCAAGGTGTGGGAGACGAGGATGAGGAGGATGAAGTCAGTGCTCCCAAGAAGAAGGTGACGGTAGACTCCTTAATTTTGTGGATGAATGAGGTGGAAAGGACCTAGAAGCTTGAGGAGGGGGGCAAAGAAAGGATTAGACTTTTTTTCAGAGGAATGGGTTTGAAAGATTGTTAGCTTGGGTCTGTATCCTGGAGTATTTGGGAAGTAGCAGTGATCTGAATTTCTGCTTTGCTGGTTTCTGTGCATAGCTGGTAGACCCAGTGCCCGGGGGTCCTGGGAGCCGCTTCAAAGATAAACACTCATTGGACAGTGATGAGGAGGATGAGGAAGATGAGGGCTCCAGCAAATATGACATCTTGGCCTCGGAGGATGTGGAAGGTGAGCTGCCCTCAACGGTGCTCTGCCAGAGAGATAAGTAGGACTCTTGGGGTGCAGAGCAGGGGTGGTCCGGTCTCTGTCTGCATGCCTAGCATGGGAAAACGATGCCTTTGCAGGTCAGGAAGCAGCCACGCTTCCCAGCGAGGGGGGTGTGCGAATTACGCCCTTCAACCTTCAGGAGGAGATGGAGGAAGGCCACTTTGACGCCGATGGCAACTATTTCCTGAATCGGGATGCGCAGATTCGAGACAGCTGGCTGGACAACATTGACTGGGTGTGGCCCGGAGCTGGCTTGGCTGGGGCCTGAGTGCTGGGTCTGGGTTTCTGTGCCGGGTCGAAGGAAATAATCCTCCTGTCCTGGCGTTACAGGTGAAGATCAGGGAGCGGCCCCTTGATCAGCACCAGGCTTCGGAGGAGGAGGACGAGGACAGCGTGGGCCAGACCCCGATGAGTGCCCAGGCCCTCCTGGAGGGACTTGTGGAGCTGCTGTTGCCAAGAGAGACAGTAGCTGGAGCGCTGAGGCGCCTGGGGGCCCGCGGGGGAGGCAAAGAGGGCAGCAAGGGACCTCGGCGGCCCAGTTCCCCCCAGCGCCTGGACCGGCTGTCTGGCTTGGCCGACCAGATGGTGGCTCGAGGCAACCTCGGTGTTTACCAGGAAACGAGGGAACGGTTGGCCATGCGGCTGAAGGGTTTGGGCTGCCGATCTCAGGGACCCCGAGGTCCCACACCTCCACCCTCCCTGGATATGTTTGCTGAGGAAGTAGCGGAGGGGGAGCTGGAGACCCCTACCCCTGCCCAGAGAGAAGGTGAGCTCGGAGGCCAGAGGAGGGCTGTCGTGGGGAGGAGGCAGGGCGCTTGAGGCCCAGGTGGCTTTGTCGTTTTAGAAGCAGAGTCACCAGGCGATGGTTTGATGGATGTGATGTGGGAATATAAGTGGGAGAACACGGGAGATGCCGAGCTGTACGGGCCCTTCACCAGTGCCCAGATGCAGGTAAGCCCTGCTGCGGCCTTCCGCCCCATCCCTCCCTTCACTGTGCGTCATCCTTCTGCAGTTCTGCCCTCTTTTCCTGCAGACCTGGGTGAGTGAAGGCTACTTCCCGGATGGTGTTTACTGCCGGAAGCTGGATCCTCCTGGCGGTCAGTTCTACAATTCCAAACGCATTGACTTTGACCTCTACACTTGAGTCTGCTGCGTGCGTGCGTGCGTGCGTGTGTGCCCCATTTGGCTGCCCCTACTTTCCTGGACTTTGGTGGGGGAGGCTGCAGCTGCCTCGCGCCACCTTTGCATCAGTTTCCCTTTTCCCAATAAAATGCTGGGTGTGCATTAGGGTGTTGGCTGTGCTCCTGGCCAGAAGCAAGGGGCCTGCTCCACATTCCCTTTGGGTGTGCCTTGGGCAGTGACTTCCGCTCCCTGTAGTTCCTTCTTGGGAGTTTCGGGGGTCTTGGGCCGCTTCACCTCCATTTTCCACCCATGGTGACATACCAGGGCCTCTCAGAGAAGACCTGTGGCTGTGTAAAAGTCTGTTCACACACACTCTTATAGTTTTCTCTGGGTTTTCTTGTTCTGCCGTTCATAGGTCTTTCACTGTTAGGGTCTCAAATTCTTTGTCCTTGCAGTCCCTGGGGTACAGAGCCTGGGAAGTAGAGCCTTACTATCTGGAAGGGCCAGGAGATCTGGACTACTCGGGGATCCTGTTGAGGGTCAGCGGGGTGGCTGGGGCAAGGTCACCAGAGTCCCTGGGAGGCTGAGGTGCCTCCTTGCCCTGTGCAGCAGTTGCCGTGGCCCTTAGGCGCAGTACAGACTCAGTGTTGCTACTTGAAAGGCCATTCAAGGCCACGTGAGCCAGCTGTGCTGTGTACAGGCGCAGGGGGAGTGACTGCAGGCCACTCAGTGAATCGGAGCTGGCCCAGGCCCAGTGGGCGCCTTTCCCAGACCTGTTGGTCTAAGGCCTGCTCTGCTTGGTCTTTGAGACTCCGCAGCTTCCATTTCTTAGGCTCACCTCTGTGTCTGGCACATGACCAGGGCCTTGAGAGAGCAGGAAACTGGGCCGGTCTGCTTCAGGATTCTGAGTCAGATGGATGGGGCAATGAGAGGCCGACAGGTGTGGCTTCCAGCCTGGGCCTAAGGCCGCCACCAGCCTTGTGCCTCACCTTACTTGTACCAACTTAGAGGTATGCTCTGCTTTTCCACCCACCGAAATCTGGGGGGTTCGTGGAATCTGTGGCCAGAGCAGTGGGTCTTCCAGAAGCTCCCTAGGTATGTCCAGTGTGCAACTGGTGCTGGGCATGCTTGCGCACACCTGTAATCCCAGCACTCGGAGCAGAGGTAGGAGGATCACCTTGAGTTAGAGATCAGCCTGGCCTACGTAGAAGAGCCTGTCTCAGAAACAAACTCCACAGAGTGAATAGTGTGCAGCTCGCTGAGAATCGGTGGGCCTGACTCGGGACTGAGGTGCATCTGGGGGGCAGTGTTTCCGGGTCCCACCAGGAAAGCAGAGCTGAGTGTGTGTGGCTCTGGTGAGTCTGTCAGTGGCAGGTGTCCTGAGCACACAGACGCCCCAGGGAGCAGGAGCCAAGCTGCCGACTGGGGAAGGTGAGGGCCTGGCCGGGCAGAGGTTTTTCATGCTCTCTAGCTGGAGACGAGGCCTCCAGTTTCTATGGTAACTAGGCTCTCCAGCTGCAGCCTATGCAGGAACTTCCCGGTACGATGTGGGACTGTCACTACCCGGGAAGAACCTTGCCAGTTAAGAGTTGTTAAGATGTCATAGGTTAAAAGAGGCAGTTGATATCACAAGCGAAAAATGGGCCGCTGGATGAGCAGAGTACAGCGTTCACCTTTGTAGCTGGAACCGTCTCTTGTGAGCTGTTAGGATTTGCGGGCTATGGGTGATTCTACAAGCACCTCAGAGCTGCCCTCATCCTCCCCTCAGGGCTTCCTCCTGTCGCAAAGCCTCATAGGTGTGGAGTAAAGGCCCCCAGAGGTAATCCCATCCTGAATTCCAGAACCTGGAGCTGTGCAAGTTGCCTAATGTGGCAAAGGGGCCTTGCCCATGTGATGAGGTTCAGAGATGGGGGAGGTGACCCTGGGTTTCTGAGGTAGGCCCAGCAGAGAAAGAGGGAAGCTGGGAAAAGCAGGAATGGATTTGTTCCCAGAGGCCTACAAAGGAACAGCTGGTGAAACCATCTTGGACTTTGCCCCCAAGAACTGTAAGATAATAAATTTGTGATGGTTTAAGCCTCTTAAGTGTGTGCTCATTTGCTAGAGCTCGGGCAGCGAACACACACCCACCCGGCGAGTTCTGCTGCCTCAGACCCAGCGCAGGTCAGCGCGGCCTCTCACAGTGATCCTCCTGCCTCAGCAGAGGGCAGGGTTCGCAGGTGTGTGGCGCCATACCTGCCTTTTTTTTTGAGACAGCCTTGCTGAATTGGCCAGGCTGACCTTGGACTTACTGTCCTCCTGCTTTAGCCTCCCAAGTACCTGAGATGCCAAGTATGTGTCGCTGTACTCAGCTGAGTGTATTATTATTTGAGACAGGGTCTCACTGGGACCAGGGATCGAACCCAGGACCTTGTGTTTGCCAGGTAGGTGCTTATGCCTCTGAGCTATCTACTAGTCGCTGAGTGTATTTTTAATAGTCACAGTCTTTGCTAACTGCAGTGTCCATGAGTACTGAGACAAACCTGATGAACGCACCTAAATTTGGATTGGAGTCTGATGCCCCCCAGTGGTGGTAATTGTTATTGCTTTTTTCAAAAACTGCAGAGGGGCTGGGGAGATGGCTCAGTAAAATAAGTTTCCCTGGCAAGCACAAGGGCCTGAGTTCAATCCCCAGTTCCGCAGAACAAAACAAAAAAATCTGCAGCCCTGGCATTGTGCACACCTGTAATCCCAGCACTCAGGAAGGAGGCTGGGCAGCAGGATCTTTGAAAGTTCCAGCCTGGACTACAAAATTAGCTCACAGCCAGCCTGAACTGCATAGTGAGACCCTGTATCAAAAAGACAAATAAATAGATAACATCTGCATACCCATGGTATGTAGCCACTGATGTCTGTCCTTTTTTTTGTGGAGCCGGGGATTGAACTCAGGCCCTTGCACTTGCCAGGCAAGCATTCATTCAACTGAGCTATTTCTTCAGCTCCACTCTGTTTT